TGCCGCCGTGCTGCCTGGCGGGGTTGTGCGCGGAGCCCAAGCGCCGCCGCCGCGGGGGAAAGGTGGCAGCGCCGGTTACACATTAACCACCTCCGCTCCCCACCGCCGCCACCCAGCTGGGCCGGCGTGTGCTGGGCCCCCATGGCCCCAGCAGGGACCCCAAGGTCTGTGGAGGGCTTTGCTGGCCAGAGCAGGGCTCTTGGCACAGCCATGCGCTCAGGGACCCCTCAGTAGCCCACTGAGCCTCCATGTGTCAGGGTTGCCCACAAGGCTCAGCCAAGGGACAGAGTGAGATTGCGGGCAAGGCACTGATAGGGTTATAAAAATGTTTCCTGCTGCTTCAGGCTGAAAAGTGTTTGAGGTGCAGCAAGGCGGCAGGTCCCCGCATCCAGCTGTGAAATTCAGGGGAGTTATTTCAAGGAATCATTTTGGCTCCAGAGCTGGCACTGCAGGCACCGCTTGTCTGGATGTGCTGCCATTTCCCCGTGTGCAGGGGGCAAAGGAGAGGGTGAGACAGGAAGGGGGTCGGGGCCATCACATCCAGCACAAGGTAGCCGTGCACTGGCAGGCAGGAGGCTGGGGCCAGTGATGCCAGTGTCGCACCATGAGGACAGTGGCAAGAGCAGTCCCATCATGGCAGAGGCGGGGCGCTGGACCGGAGGGTGCTGGCGGCGCCCTGCTCCCGGTCTCTTGAGCGCTCCTTCCTCCTCCCCGGCAGCAGCAGGAAGCTGCCTGCTAACAACAAATCTTCGTCTCTGCAGTTTCCAGCCCCGCAGCGGCCAGGGCAGGGAGGCCCCATTTCCCCCTGGCTGCCCAGGGACTCCTCCATGGCTGTGGGTCCCCACCCTTTCCTCGGGAAAACTGTCCCCAGCTCGTCCTCGCTCCTGCAAGCGTGCAGCGAATGCAAACACACCAGGCGCCCTCCCTGTGCCTGCCTCTGCCGGCCGCCTCCGCCCTGTTCCCCAAGGGCTCTGCCAAGGCAGGCGGCGGGCAGGGCGTGCGGGTCCTGCAGAGCAGGCTCCTGCCCATGACATGCCGGCCAGGGGCCAGCTCTTCTCCATGCATCCCGCTCCGGCGCTGCTCCTAGCCTGGTGGCCGCAGCCTCCAGCACCACATGGCAGGACCCACCCTGGCCAGAGATCTGCATGAGCCCAAAGCAATTGGAGACATTGCTGTTAATCCTCAGCAGCAGCCTCCCCGAGGGCGTGTGTCTGTATATATCTGTGAACCTGGTTCCTGCTGTACGAGACTGGCACCACGAACATAAAACTAAACAAATGGCCAGAAAAGTATGATTAGAAAGTGCTGCTGAGGCCTCCTGGAGGTGAGCGAGACGGGTGTTTGCATTTCCTATCAGGAAATGGATCAGGACATTATGGTTTGTGGCATGTGGATTGGAATGTGTAAATGTCATTGAAAAGGAGTATTTTTATCACTAATACTTTTAATTCATCATGGTTCAGGGAAAAAAAGTTTGGTCTGTTAATGCTGCAGAAAAGGCATTCAGGTGAGAGATTTGTTCTATGGGTTGGGTAAATGGAGCTTTCCGTATTAGTGGTGAGGACAGCAAGCGTCGTGGACTGCTTCAGCTGAGCACAGCTGAGCGTAGCTGGCCCAGGCTCCCTGGTTTCTTTTCCACAGAAATATCAGGTTAAATATCAGTTAAATATCAGGTTAGGAGCCTGGCTAAGTCTCCCCATTGACCCCAAGAGAAGTTTCCTACCCTACCTCTGACCTGAAGGATTTGCACAAATTGAAACCTCTTATTGAGGCGTTTCTAGAAAAGAAAAGCAACAGGACAAATCAGGGTATGTGTGAACCCTTGATGTATTCCTTAGATTTTCTGGACATTAATCTGTATCGATGACTGATAGCTAAATGGATCCAGTTCCCCAAAAGGTCAAAGCAATGGCCTGCTCTTCAGATGAGCATACTGCAAGGCCCACGTTTGCAAAGCCTTTCCATAAGACTTGTTTGTGCTATGTAGATAATCCTTTCATCAAAATATTTTTTTTGTGTTGGACCAGACTTTACAATACATATCATAAATTATTGCTTTGTTAGTAGTGCTGCATTGTTGAGCGATCGCAGAATGTGAGTTCGCCCTCTCATTATTTATCTAGCTGCAATACGTGTGAGTACAAGATAGCGCAGTGGTAATTATAGTATGTCTGACCTCTGCAGTCAGTGAACAATGGGATGGGGGGAAAGAAACCATTTATTTATGAATTCATGTATCTATCCACTTTCCTGCAGCTGTCCTGAATGTATGGATGAGTCCCTGACCCAAAAAACTTTCAAATAAGTTTGATTTTCATAGGCAAACAAGGACATGGCAGTTCACAAGAATGCAAAGGGGCAGGAGAAAACAGATTATAAGAGGAAGAGGGCTTGGTTGCCCAGCCTGTGCATGTCTGTCTCAGTGACTTCCTCCCTTCTGGAAATTCTTTATTGAAATTGCAGTTGAGCCTCAAATGCTCTGTGGGTCCCCAAAGACAGAGCCCCTTGCCTGAACGTACCCACCCAAGTAATTCAACCAGAAGCACAGCGTGACTAATTTTCCAAACAAATATGGGCAGCTACAATCCAGTGTCCATCTTTCTGGAGTCCCTCCTGCCTTGGGCTGGCTGCAGTGTTTTTGTTCATGGGAGTATATGGGAGCAGCCTGCGTCAGGGCGAGGAGTCAGCGATGGTGTGGCAGAGTCCCTGTCTGCTCTAATCTCTGCACACTCTTCAGGGGCACTGTACGTCCCCGGAGTGCACTGTAAATAGTCGGAAACAATGAATGGATTTCCCTTTCCTGTCCATGTGTTCTTTAGATTTTCGACCGGATACTGCATGGGCTCTGGACACACCAAAACATAAGACTTGTTCCCCAGCAGTCCTGGTTTTCACATGGGAACGCTTCAGGGCACTGTTTATGAAATGGTGTGAAGCTTAGTAAAGTAGGTGAAGATTACAGTGATTTCCCCAGGAAT